TGAAGTTCGACCTGCCCTAGAGTTCTGTTATGTTTGTTGACTGAAAAGTAAAGTAAACAGCAAGAAGTAGGAGAGGAAAGAAGAAGGAAGAAAGAGGAAGGAGAGAAAAGGTCTGATTCAAATTAGAGAAAAGTATCTCCTAGTTTCAGCCAGACCTGTTATTATATTATTAATTTAGTGGAAAAGACTTAAGTGCTCTTATTTAAGTAAGAGGCACTCGCACTAAAACCGAAATACCCCTTCACTAAAACCACTAACAGAACCTAAGATATTTGGTTTTCCTTGATGCCACAATGGATATTTGGTTTACCCTAATATGCTAGGTGTTTTAAAAGTTCTTTAGCATACAATTGGGTGATAGGAGTATTACGAAGTACTATTCTCAACTAAAAAGGTTACATAAAGAGTTGAATATTTACCAATCAATTTCTCCTGATGTAAGGGTTATGACAAAACAAAAGGATGAATTTTTTATCTGGCAAGATTCTTATTTGGTCTCAAGGCGATGTATGAACCAGTTATAGCTTTGATCTTAGGAAGCCCAGAGGTGCCATTGTTACCAAATATTCCTTCCAGGATTCAAAATGCACCATTATGTAGACATGCTAGCTTTGATAGAGGGAGTAATGTGGAACTTTTCATGGAGGTAGAGAAAGCACATGTGGTGAATGTAGTGGTGGTGGAAAAACTCCAAAACATGGTTGTGGGAAGGATACTCTGTCTTGCACATATTGTGGGAGAAAGGGCAGACTATTAATTACTACATGATGTTCATGGTGTTTGAATACACTCTGATAGTGATACTATGTGTTAAAACAACCTGACCTTCAAAGAGCACTATAAGGAGCAAGAAAGAGAGATGAATAAAGGAGAAGAAAGAACAGGTAGAGAGAAAAGGAATGATCATATGAATCAAAAAGTTCTAATCTCTCCCATACATCCCACCAACTATATATATAATGATAAGGTGTCTTAGTTACATGGACCATACTAAAGAGAAGAAAATGACCACTCTGGTACTTTTAGTAAATAGATTATTAAAGGACTAAACTACCCTCTTTTAGTAATCAATAATGATGTCCCTGTTAAATAGGCAATGAGAGAAGAAACAAAACTGACAGGAAAAGAGATGTACTATCCTGAAGGGATGATGAGAGGACTACATTATCAGACTTCAGCAAAATCTGGGTTGGGAAGGGATTTTTTTGTATAGTGCAAATTTCTATCCTTTTTCTTGAGTGGGTTTTTGATCTTGTTTTCAAGCCCCTGCTTGTACATTTTCTCATGTACATCCTTCCCTTCTCTTTTGAATGAAAGTTACCTTTTCTCAAAAAAAAAAAAAAAGAAAGATAAGAGAACCACATAATGGCATGGGTTTAACAGAAGCCAATATAACCCTTTAGAACAGTCTCATGAAATTTTCAAATGATGTCCATTTTATTATATATGCAAATAATTCCTAACAGTGACCATCAAGTATCAACTGTTAAGCCATTATAACAGGGCCCCATTATTAAAACCAAAAAGCCTATAGCCTTATCCTTCCTAATAGTAAGATGAATCCATATTAACTAAAATACAAGGGAGCTTCAAAATGATAACTATTGAACAATCCTAGAAAAGAAACAAAATGTAAGGTTCTTTTCTTTAAAGAGTAAAGACATAAAGTATAATGTATTAATATTAAAAGTATAAAAGGGCCTGTAAGGTTCTGAAGGAAATACTCACAGAAAGATTATTGCAAGAACAGAATAGTTTTTGTCTAACTTGTTCTGATCAAAAGAAGCTGTCTTTTCCAGTTGATCTTGCTGAGAAACCTCCCTGTCTATTTAGTTAACATAAAAGTCATAAACAAATAAATTAATTTTAACAGAAAAAAAATCATAATCAGAAAAGCAAAATGAAGAGTTAATTCAAGGCGGTGATTCAATCAACTTGCAATTAGATAAAACTGAGAAAAAAAAATTCAACCTTGACACCCTCATCAAAGAATGGCAGCATGGGTTGGTCCTTGTTCTCGGATCGGACACCTTAAAGGATGCACTTGCTGATATCAGATATAGAACTTAAAGCTCAACCAAAGAGTAAGAAAAAGACACCTGAGAAGGATGACTAGGGTACATGGGGAAGTCAGAGAGAAATTGAATGAATTAAACCACCTGAATGCAAGTTAGCATAGAGAAGTAGTTGGACTTGCAGAATTGAATCAGCACACACACACACACTGCTTCAAGTTAATAAAATATTTTCATCACCATTAGCAGATGCAGCAACCAGAGTCTGACATGAGATTTGGTAGTGCTGGCTTTGACAGCCCGGAGCAATTTCTTTCTGATCTCGTTGGAGTAAATATGAAGATTCTGGGCCCCATCATCTTCAGCCGAGGCGGTGATGGTGGCTGAGAAGGTGGAAGTGGCTACCTTAGTGACATGCATCCATAACACGTTGTGAGATAAAGAGAGTAGAGATAATTGGATTTTGAAGGTTGAATTCATCATCATGTGGATTGGTTTCCAATAGATGATCAGATTGTGAGGGTTGAGCTTGTTGCCACCAATGAAGGAGAAAGGAGAAAGTAGAGGCAGGGTCAAGGGTTTTGGGTTTCTCTTATGTGGAGAATAGCAATAGATTAGGTAATGGGAAATTTTGTCCAGAAAAATGCTGAAAATATCTCTGACAGTGTTTAGAGGAGAGATATTCTCAGAAAGATTCAGAGTTTTCTTGATCATCAGAGGGTGGGTATGTGAACAACATGTAACTGCTGAAAAGAAACTTTTTCAGTGATAGGAGGTTTATCTTATGCCACTTACGTAGGAAATTTTGAAATTCCTGGGAAAATACGGTCATATTCTTTTTCTAAAAAAACTTCCTGGGAAAATATATACCAGCTATTTGTTTTTGGCTTCAAATATACCAACTATTTGTTAAGTGGGATAGAACCTGATATTGATTTAAATAGCTTTTTATATCCAGAAAAATAAATCTAGAAATGGTTTCTCTCCCAAGAGCATCTCAGACTCTCCATCTCTTTCCATAGTAGTTACTTCTATTAATTCCTTGTTACTTCTCTCATGTCCCAATTACTCAACAGGAACCCGCAGAAAGTCCCACAATGTCAGTAGCAAGACTTGACAAGACTGCAATGAAGATATCAGCCGATTTCAATGGCAATCCAGCTTCACATAAATGGCCCCAAGGACGGGGAATCCAAACTCCCATTAGAGCTACTGGTGCTGGTTCCAGGTTCTTGCAAGTGGGTCATGACGAACTAAGATCTCATCGTCGAGTTCCAACAAAACCTATGGGTGCAAAGGGTGAAAATATTCCTGTTAGATTTCAAAGTGTGAGTGATGATTTTCCTGTATTTATAGAATGTTTGGTTTATGTTTTCCACATTTTCTGTATGTTTTTCATTTGATGGTTTGCTGCCTGCCAGGTTTTTGGAATTATGCATCTCATCATTTCACTTGGGATTATCCTGGTGATGGATAAATTCCTGAAGCGAGCCTTTGTAGCTGCTGCCATCAAGTTCCCAAGTGCCCTTTTTGGGATGTTCTGTATATTTTCTATTCTGATGATTCTTGATTCTGTTGTGCCATCAACTGCGATGAGTTTGGTAAACTTCTTTGAGCCAGCAAATATGTTCATTCAGAGGTGGCTCCCACTGTTTTATGTTCCCTCATTGGTGGTTTTACCTCTCACTGTAAAGGATATCCCTGCAGCTTCAGGAATTAAGATCCTTTTCATCCTAGGTGCTGAATTCTACCTTGTTCTTTGTGTTTTAATCCTTTTGAACTTATGGAATTTACTCAAAGTGTTAAATGGGAATGTTGTACTGCAAACCAGTTTCCCCTTTTTTGTGTGTGTTTATGATGTTGTTTTCTTGGAATTTGATGGATCTTTTACACCATTCAATTGGCTTTGTTTTTCTTTTTTTTTGATAAATGAATTTCATCAATTTTCATTAGAATCAAAGGATAACATCTGTTGCAAGCATCCCAGTGGGAGGTGCAAGGTGCAGCCTCACTCTTTAACAAAGAAATACAAAGATTTACAAGCATCTCATTCAATTGGCTTTTTTGATAGTTTTTTTTTTTGGTTAGGAACAATAATAGTTCCAAAAATATAATCCTCCTGACTGTAAAAAAAATGTCAGCATTGTAAACTGTAGAACTAATACACCCTCTTTGTTGTGTTGCTATTTTTCAAATCCTCATAATCACACTATAATTCTTTCTACCATTTGCACAAATTATCAAGGCATCCTGATCACAAGAAACCCAGCATCACCATGCCCATACCTAAAAAGAAGAATACATCAAAAAACCATAATGGTTTGCATCATATTCATCCAATAAATCATAAAACTGTTAAAATGCCCTTTCTAAACATAGTCTCCTGAAAGTTCAGATCAACAATTTGCAACTTCCTTGTGATTACTCCTAATTGTTCCTTTGGTGATCCTTTCTTGCACATAATTTCTCCAACTAGTTTTGTTAACTGTTAAAAAATCTGATAATGATTGATAAAAGTAAAGATGAACAGCAGAAAAAAAATGGAAGAAGAAAGACGGAAGAGAGGAAGAAGAAGAGAAGAGAAAGTTGGAGGAGAAATCACTCAAAATTGTGGGTTCATTGATGCAGCCCACTATCTTTTATATTAACTGATATAAAAGAAGAGGAAAGCTGCAATCATTCCCCTGATCAGGCGAAAGCATCATCATCATGATCCAAGCCTTATCCCATTTATATGAGATTGGATACATGAATCCTGTTTTGCCGGTCTGAAATCATTTCTTACTACTTCTACCCGTCTTTTTTGGTCTACCCCTTGCCCTTCTAGCCCCTTCAATTTATAACAAATTACTTCTTATGGGTGCTGTTGATGGTTTTCTATGCACATTACCAAACCATCTTAGGAGCCGTTTGATAACAGCTGGAGATGCTGGACTGAAAAGCTTATTGCTTTGTCATTTAATGAATAAGTTTTTAAGGAGGTTGTGGGCTCCTTAATGGCTGAAACTGAAGTTGGGTAGATCACTATACCCTTGAAAATTTTATTATTTAATTATTTAATTATTTTAACAACTAAAAGGCAAAGCCGTAAGTTTTTCAGTTAAGCAGTTATCAAACAACCCCATAGTGTACTTTCTCTCATTTTATCACCTATTGGAGTCACTACAAAGTTCCTAAGAATGACTTCATTTCTGATCCTATTCTTTCTGTTTTTTCCACTCATCCATCTTAGCATATGCATTTCTTCCACATTATTTTTCTGGACATGTTGTTTCTTGACTGCCCAACACTCTGCAGATCAGGCAGAAGCAATACAGAAATAAAAAGAAATAAGGCTTATAAGGCCCATAAGCTCAATAAACAAATAGTCCAATAAGAAATAAAATGATTAGACAAACAGCAAGACATGGCAGCTAATATGGACCATTATCATTATCAACTCAACTAAACAAAGCCTCATCCCAACTATATGGGGGCAGCTAAATGAATCCTGTTCCACCATTTGTTCTATTCAGGCCATGTCCATTGTTAAATTATGGGCCCTTGAATCATTTCTCAATACTTCAAACCATGTTCTTTATGGCTTGTCCTTAGCTCGTCTAGACCTTTTAACTTGGATCAGATCACTTCTTCATACTAGCAGATGGTGTTCTATATGCATGTCTGAAAAGGGCCAATACCTCAACGTTGGTCCCAGCTATCTGGGGTCTTGGAAGGGGTAGACTGGGTACAGTCCTAACCTTAAGCATTTTTACCCATAATGTGGGGACCCTCCGACAAACATTCCATATACATGTCTAAACCATCTTTTATTCATGTTAGTCTACTTGCCCTCATTTTATCATCTATCAAGGATACTTCCAGATTCACATAGATATGGTTTTACCACTCATCCATTTCAATATTTGTATATCTATGCTGTTAACTTTGCTCTAAATCATCGAATGGTTGTTTGAATCAAATGTATTTTTGTATTCTCATTTGCTTCTTATAACATGCTTCTCCGGTGAAAGCCATCAGGTCTCAGTTTGAGTATCATGTAGCTAATAGACTTCCTGATTAAACTAGTTCCTATGTTTTATCTTGCATGTCCCCATTGATTGTTTTTACATGTATGCATAACCATGCAATGAATACTGAAATTAGTGTTTGATAAATGGAAGTTGATGGACTTTATTTAAGTACATCAAACTGGATACAATGATTTTATGAACTTTGAAAAAGTGTCTATACAAATAGTAATTATCATGCTAGTTTAGATTTTAGAACATTAAATAGACGTGGACATTTTTTACCAGAGACAGTCTATTAAGAAGAGGTTTGCAGATCCAGGATCTGTCATGTGGGATGTCTGGGAGGCTCCCAGAGAGCAAATACCATCTCTTCATATACTGTTCTGTCACTCAAAGATTGTGGGGGCACTTGCTGGAGTCGACTAGACTCTTCTGAGTCATGCCACACTCTTTTATTGATCTATTATTGAGCGGGCAGCAGCAAGGCATGTGTAAAAAAGGGAAATTGATGTAGAATATGGTGCCTGGAGTTATTGTATGGTCTATCTGGGCTGCGAGAAATAGAAGGGTCTTTCTCAACAAAAGTAAGTCTTCAGATGAGATTATCAACCTCTTGGTTGGTAAGATTGGGTCATGGGCCTTTGCTGTCAAGGGCAGTGACTTTTTATCCCCTTGGCAGTCTCTTAAATGTATTGGTCTCTGGATGTAACTCTAGTGTGTCTTGTTGTGTAGGTTGGGGTTCGAACATATTGTCTCTGGGTCTGTGCCTCTTGTTGTATTATCTTCTCCTGGGTTCTTGAATAAATTTTAATTTGCCTTTATTCAAAAAAAATATTTAAATTTTAACTATGTAATGATTATTTCTCTTTTAGGAAATTAGTGAAAGTTCTTCCTTTTGTTTTCTACAGTTGGGGGTTGGCTGGCTTCGTTGTCTGTTGCAGGTTACACAGCCATAGCAGTACGGAAAATTGTAAAGACAGAAACAGTATCTGCAGAGCCTATGCCAAAACCTTCTCCATTCTCACAAATTGAGCTGTGGGCATGGACAGGGATTTTTGTTTCATCATTTGTTCTTGCAGTCCTATATCCAACTGCACTTGGAACAAATGCAAAAACATGTCTTCCTTTCTTACTTGCAGCTACAGTTTTAGGTTACATGGTTGGTTCCAGGTAAAATGCTTGTTTCCTACTTATTTTATAAAGAACAATGTCTGTTCTATCTAAATGTCATGTCATTTTTCCTTTCACTGCAGCCTGATTATGCTGCATGGTTTTGGTTATAGGTGGCAATCTGATGCAAAGAAAGCTCTTCATCCAATTATTTGCTGTATACTCTCTGCAGATCTTTCAGCACTAGCTTATGGGTATTTCTCCCAGTCTGGACTGGATGCTGTGCTAGGTTTACAACCTACTTAATTGTCTATAATTCTTTTGTTTATTCAGTAATTGTTTTCTCTTATGTTTTATTGACATGTTAGATCTCCTTAAACTATGCAGAAGGATATTTATAGGTTAAAGTCTATTTTGAGGATACCTACCCTTGGGTTCCACTACAATATGCAGAGGGTTGGGGTCTATCATCTGAAGGTTCTTTCTAGGAAATATTACCAACAAATATATTCTTCCTAATGTTGTGGTCCCAAAATCTAATTGTAGGCTTACTGTTATTGATATAGAATTATGCTACAAATGCAAAATATCAACCAGCAGGCCCAAGAATATTACTGTGAGCCCATGTGCATGTTAGCCTATGCTCCAAGGTCAGATGTGAAGACTTTAGGAACTTATCAAGTTTTATGCTTAACTTCTAGAGTTAGAAAGCTTTTTTTTATATGAACCTATTAGCTTCTAAAGGTTTTCAGAATGTTTTAAACCTTCGTATGTAGGTTTAATTTTTCATCAGGTGTTTGCACAGAATTAAGGTTACCTCATAGAAAGTCAGGATGATTTAAATTTATCTTAGGAGCATTGATATGCAACTTAAATTTTAAACACACCCATGAAGCTTATTCCTTTTATGATTTCCCTGTTGTCTTGTTTTTGTTGGATCTTAGTTATTGTGTTTTGATAGGTTCGATTGGTTCAGTAAAAAACATTTTAATTCTTTGGTTGTAAGGTTGATTGCATCAAGCATTTCCATGAAGCAGTTGCTAATGTGCCATAGATGCTCCCTTATTGCTTGATCTGATGAATCCTTGAAGACCTTTGTGGTTCAAGATTGGCTGTATTTAGTTGCATGTAAAGCAAAGGAAACAATTTGTTTTCTCATGGAATGAATCATTTCCTAATTTTCCAGGTATTTGGCTCAACCTGTAAAACAAACCTAGATGCTCTGGACAGACACTCAGACAGGATGTCATGCATTTTAATTAGGAAGCTTGAACCTCCTTTAAGAAAATGACAAAGAAGATTGGAAAGATAGTCATTTTCCTTCAACTACTCATTTTGTACAAAGTGTTTGTTTTCCACAGCCAATTATGGGAAACCAAACACCATAAAATAGTATTTCTTATGGAAATCTTTGGTTTTTCTCTACTTCAGTTGCAATGATACTGAAATTGTAAAAATAAAAAAAAAAGAAGGGGAAGAAGTAGCACAACCATTTTTCTCTCTATTGCTCTATCTAGAACATATAAAAGAGAATTTTTGTATTTGAATTGCCTAAATAATTTCTTTTGTATAAAAAAAAAATTTCCTGTTCGAAGAGATGAGAATCAAGGGGAAGGTAAGCCTGAAGGTAAGGGAAGCGAAAAAGGGTACAATATTGCTGGAAGGATTAGAAGT